CAACGTAGCCTAAGTCCATTGGTTTAACAGGAGTGAAAATATAAAATCTAGTAAAACCGATTTTAAAAACTAGTATTTTACACCCTGGCAATAGTTAACTCGGTTTACCTTAAATCTAATGGAATATAAGACTTACAAGTTTATTTGAAGTATCACGCGAGCTAACTAATGCTTCACCAATACCAATAACGATGTCAGGACTGACTCGAACTTGTCGTGGTAGTTGCTGGTGAGGAACTCTCCTATCTCGTGGCTGGTGAGGAACTTTCCTAACTCGTGGCTGGTGAGGAACTAACTTTCAGTGTTGCCAACCGACCTCTTTGGTTTTCCCCGCAGGCAACGACGGAAATCCTCGTTTTTCCTCGCAAGGATTCTAAAATTACTCGCAGAATCCTCGTTACTCGTTAGCATCCAAAATCAAATAATTTGAATTGTCCCCATATTTAAATGATGATATACGTTTACACGGTTTTTTTTTTTTTTACTAGATGTGCAAATAACCAGACATACATATACATATAGCCTATTGTAGTAAAAATATGGGTTCTGGTGAATATTATGATTATTGGTCTATAGACTAAATCAAACCAACACAAGGGAGTATATTTTTCTATGACTATGATGTAACGCTAGCATTTTATAATCAATGCTAAAATAGGGGTTCCTTCCCTGGATCCTGGCCCAATCATTGTCAAATCCTAAGAAGTAGTTCGTCTTGGAATATGTGGGTGTGCTGATGTCGACGTCAAAATAAAACATAAAATAATTCTTTTTTTAGGTTATAATAATTTAGGTTAGGTCAGTTCTTATTACTAAAAAAAATAAATTCCCTTTGTTTATATGTACCTGAAACAAATTAAATCGTGAATGATATAATATAGGTAACATCCATTAAAAATAATATATTCATTGTTAACTTTGAAAGTTTACAAATTAAAAATCATCAAAAAGGGGACGCCACCTAGGTATGCCTACATAAATCAAAATTTGAAGTTAGAGCTTTAATGTAGAAATTAATAATAAATGTCTTGTCTTAACAAAAATGGAAGCAGAGGATTAAAGAAAAAAATGCAAATTCTTTATGGAATTTAAATATGTTTACTTATAAAAGTAAGAAGATTTACAAAACAAAGATTTGGGTAAATAAATCAAAACGTAATAACTAATTAATTAACCTTACCCAACAATATAAAAAAACACACAAAAAGATGCAAGTAAAATCTTATCTTTTATGTAATAAACCATGAGTTTGATACTTGGAAATAGGCCATAGTTCTCTCTACAAAATTTAAAAATATTGAACTATTTTATATATCTCAGTCTTATCATGATAAATATTTTTTTAAATATTTAAATAAAACAGGAGGTTTTAAACATTTCTGTTTCTGATATCGTCATTGTGTACAACTGGTATAAGTTTGATGATCATTTATTAAGGTAACATGTCCAATGTGAAGATATCTTAACATAAATTTAATCATAGACATAAATATAACATTATGAAAAATCAAAACATAAATTATTAATACTGTAAATGATGATAAAGTAAGTTAAATTTTAAACATTGACTAAATAAACGTGAGTGAGATCATTGTCTCCACTGAAGTTGCAACACAATATCAAAAACTCATTAAAGGATCACAAAATTAAAAATCTTATCTAATTAACTTACCATGAGTTTGAACTTGATACAAACTTCAAAAAATTTAACTTTCTAAAACAGGACCCTCTACAAAAACTAAAATCCCAAATTATTTTACACATCTCAGTCTTTCCATGATATAAGTAACATTAAAAAACAAAAAAGACTCTGAAGTTTTTACATACATTATAGCTTGTGAAACGGAATATCCTTTTTGATATCGGATTCCATTGTGTACAACAGGTAAAAGTTTGTTTAGTTAATAAGGTAACCATGTCCAATGCAATATATAGGCCTACAACAAAATATATTTAACAAAAATATAATGTAAGTATAATAATTATAAAAATCTAAACATAAATTAAAAACATAATTTTATAATGAGTAAGAACATAAAAAACAAATAAACATTTTTTAGTTAAATTATAAACATTGACTAATTGAAAGTGAGATCATTATGTCTTATTTACATTACCTAACAATATCTAAAACTAAAACACATAAAAGGATCACAAAATATTCCAGTAAAAACTTATCTAATAACCGAGATCTCCACCATCTCTACCGGATGAGTTATTAGGGTAACATGCCCAATGTGAAGATACTTTTACATACATTTAATCAAAGACATAAATATAAGTATGTAAAAAATCAAAACATAAATTAGAAATACTATTTAAATTAAGAGAAAGTATGAACATAAGAAACTAATAAACATTGACTAATTGAAAGTGAGATCACTATGTCATATGTACATTACCTAACAATATCTAAAACACATAAAAAGAGAACAAAATATTCAAGTAAAATCTCATCTAATAAATAACCATGAGTTTGATGCAAACTTGAAAAATGTATAAGCCATCCAATATAGAGGCATCTAACTATACTAAAATATTGCATTATTTTACATATCTCAGTCTTGTTGTGATGTAAATAACTTGAAGTATATAAATAAAAGGCTCTGGAGGGTTTTTATGTACATTACCTAGTTAAGAAGTAAAAAACACAAACCATTTCTCCTGTCAGGTGCCATTATGTAGGCCTACAACATGTATAACTTTGGTCAGTTATGAAGGTAACATGTCCAAAATGCGAAGGTATTTGAACAACATATCATATAAATATAAATATAACAATAGTAATATTAAAAATCAAAACCTATATTTTACATGCTCTTTAAAAGTGTAAAGAAGAATATAGACTAATTAAGGAACTCAAGTTTCAGTGGAACAATAAAATTTGACAGATCTTAAAGTGAGATCATCATGTCCTAAAGAAGAAATATTTAAATAAGCAAAACAATATTTAATGTCATGTAATGACCTTGAGTTTGACACAACCTTGAATACAAAAATTAATACTTTAAATATCTCGGCCTTGTCATGACTTTTTTTTGTCATAAATATTTAATCATTGGCATGGATGTGATTGGTTTTTTATCATACATGGCCTAAATAAAGGGTAACTTGGGTGACATATCAGATATCTGTTAGAGTTATGTAAAGCTAACAACTCTTTTAGGAAGATATCCCCAAGGTGTTTCACTACCAAATCTTTTTGGAGAGCATGTCACTAGAAGGTTCAAACGTGGCCAACCCTCCGTCTTCCTTGACTCCCTTTTGAGTTAAAATCAACGATACTATTGTGTTTGTCTTCAGTTTATTCCGATGGGATGTTTTAACATTATTCAATGTGCTAAATAGCCTTTCCACACTTGCATTTGAAAAAGGCAAAACTAATAAAAGCTCCATAACTTTGCACAGATTTTTGAAGAGCGGTAGTCCTGCAGCATTTTTCAGCTCACTGACCTCCTTCCAGTACTGATCAGCTGGAACAGTCGAATATAATTTCAGGTCCTGGAAGTTGAGGAGAGCATGTTCCCGCCATTCCTGTTCAACCTTTTTGGGATCAGTTACTGTTCTGAGGACGGGAAACCTTTTCAGCACAGGTTGTAGAGTTTTTACTTGAAAAGATTGAGCCTTGATAGGATCCACAACCTCGATCAGCTGAAAGATTTCATCCTCAAATGAAAATCTTGTTTTGATTTGTGACACCACTTCAATATAAAAATTCCTACATGTCGTTAGAAAATTATCCACGTTTTCTTTAGATAGGTTAGGGTCCTCTTTGAGCTTTGATAAGCTTTCAGTGGCTGTCAGGCCCAAGTACGTTTCATTCAAAGGCAAGAAGTTAGTTGTATCATTGTGGCTGACCTTATAAATGTCGTTGTCTCTTACCACATCTGTCTTCAAGTAGTTCATACTAAAATCCCTGAGAATTTTGTGAATTTCAGGTTTCAGTTTATGCAGCAGAGGGCTCTCGCTCTGGAACATTACGTTAAAGTCGGTAAGTAGGCCCAATGTATAGGACATGAACTCCAAGTAAATGATGGTGAAGGAGTTTTCAAGAGTGGAGACTATGTCATCAAGGGTTTTAGATGGGTCTTCAAAAGCCAGTTGGCGGAAATAGTGCTGGAGGGCTGTGTACTGAGATATGATTCTATTAACGCATTCTTTCAATGAAAGCCATCGTGTTGTCGATGGCGTTAGAATCTTTAAAATTTCGACTTTAAAAAACTCTTGAAATTCTCTGAATTTGTCCTGCCTTCCAAAGCTTCGGCTGAAGTGAGCCCCTACATTTCTAACTAAATCCTCCAGGTATCTGGGGAGCTTCAAACAGGCTTTTGATGCCACAAGATGCATCATGTGACAGGAGCATTTAACAAACACTACATCTGGAAAATCGTTCTTCAGAAGTTTAACAACTGAATGGTTTTCACCAAACATTACATTTGTGGTGTCACTAGAAAACCCCACCATATTTTCCAATCCCACTCCGTGTTTAGAAAAAGTCTCTTTTAAGGTCTTGGTTAGATCTGCCGCTGTGCCTGACGGAGTCTCCACCATATCAAAAAAGCGGCATTCGGGTTTTTTTGTGTTTTGATTAAAGAATATGACGGTAAAGGCACACTGTTTGATGCTGCCTCGGTCAGTTGTTTCGTCCATTATCACGGAAAAGAATGTTTCCGGATCAGCAAGGGTTGTGTTAAGTCTTCTCCTGTAGCTTTCCCCAAGCGATTGCTTAACAACAGCCGTTGTTTTCGTTCTTTTGCAAGAAAGGGATTGGGTTATTTGAGAATCAGGGCATATATCAGCCACCAATGGTTGAAGTGAGTCCATTAAACTGAATGGCAGATTATTGCTAGCAATCAGGGCAGCTAATTTAATTTCTGCCCTTTTTATTTGTTTGGCCAATGGGGTTTTGAGATGCTTGTCCAGTCGATATCTGGGCAAGTGCACTCCTGTGCTTTTCAGATTTTGAATGCCTTACTAAATCTACTTTATGTGCCAAAATGTTAGTTTGGCACACCTTTCACCCAATTCATTTTCACCTTTTTTTGGGTAGATTTGACAAGCCATCCCTTAAAGTCTGGGATATTTAGCTTTGAGCTCACAAACTTAAGGGGAGCACGGTTGGTTTTCTTTTTCCTCAAACTTGTAGTCGACGGTCCAGTCTCCTTCGCCAACTGAAACATAACAAAAATATGCCATTAACTTAACTGAGGAAAATTGTAGGCTTCAACTTATTTAAGATGGTTTGTTAGAGCTTGATAACTCATATTAACTCGTAGAAATAGTGACGAAAACCAAGGATTTATATTGAAAAACTGCTTAAATTAGTTGTTCCTATAAAATGGTAGGCCCTATAGCAACACACCTTTTGTATAAACCTTTTGTGCATAAATGGGCCATGTGTCAGACAGGAATGGAAAGTAGTGATTTTGATTTTATTACATTATAGGATACAAGGTAGTGAGGGTACAGTTTTAAGTTTTAAAGGTTACGAATCTCTAGTTTTTTGGCAGAGCTCGGTCCTTCTTGGGTTTGACTGCTTCCAGGCCTACTGACATTTTCTTCTGAAATTTGTTCATGTGCCTGGAAAAATAGCAACTCGTTTACAATATATTTTTCTAGGACTGCAAATTTTGTTGCAACTATATTTTCAAGCGTGTGCTCCCGCTATCTCCGCATTCCGCCACCTCCGAACCCAAATCCGTCCCGCCACCTCCGAATTCTTGAGTGACCCTTATAGTCATTGAATAGAATAGTCATTGAATAGTCATTTATTCAGTCTTTAAACAATACATTATTGTAATTGACATCGTCATTATTATTGTAAAAGATATAAGATACGATACTTATAATTATTAAAATTTGACATGAAAATTCCAAAATATAGGCTGCCCTTATTGAACATTTAACAGGTTTAAAATAATTTTTAAAAAATAATATAATACCGTCATTGCCTGCGTTGGTAGCTGTCATTGCATCCACGGCTGCAAAGCCCCGTGGATGGAAGATTTAACGATAATTTAACCCGTGGGTTAGGTGAGGTTAGGATAGGTTAGGTTAAGTTAAGTTAGGTTAGGTTAGGTTAGGACGGAAAGTCTTAACGCATGTAGTAACCGAGGATTATAGGGGTCACTCTGAAATTCAGAGGTGGCGGGACGCGGAGATAGCGGGAGGTAACCATTTTCAAGTACAAATGTGTTTTCAGAGCAGGAGAGTTAATAAAATCTGATGATCATTTATTGGTAAATGTGAAAATAGTGAAACAACATTTGATATATGAAAATCTATGTCTTGATATAAATGTACTATCTGAATGCAAAATAAAATATAACTATCAATTCAAACAGAATATTGACTTAAACCCTTTATTATGGCCTATTGTCATTAACTGTATAAAATAACATCAGCGTTCCAACATTATCAATTGAAAAACTAGGGGACTTGTAGTCATATTAAAAATTAAAAACTTCTTAAAGGATAGAGATAGGTGTTAAAGTTTGCATAGGCCTACCTTAAATCTTTTGGAGGAGCTTTGTTCTTCGTGGGTTTTACTGCTTCCAGGCGTACTGAGATTTGCCTCTAGGATTGGATTATCTGCCTGGAAAAAGATCAAATCATTTACGAAACATTCTCTATGTCAATACATTTTGTTGTGTCATCAGTAGCCTATTTTATTCCACAGGCTTGGTAAGAGAAAAAATACTTTTCTGATCATGGCCCTGAGACTCTATAATTAGCTCACCATCAAACTGAAATAGCTTGAAAGCGAAAGCATCAATTTTTTTGCAGGAAAGTGTTTTGAATATAAGATAGGCCAATGTTAGTTTTTGAGGATGACTTCAGGGACTGAATCTAACATCCACCGCCATTAGTGCCCGGGACATTCTTGATTCCATCCAGAAAATTTTGCATATAATTTATACAAGAATGATTTGTAGCTTATCCAGGATGAGGAAAAATGCATACCATAAGGAATACCTACCGTACGTCAATATCCTCAACGTTCACGTGTTTGGACCTTTCCCTACTAATAACTTAATAACTTTTATTAAATGTTAAAACAATTTAATATACAGAAAAGAGTAATAGATAATGACAGGGTTTAAAGTTAACAAACCTTTTGGTTTTTGGCAGAACTTTCCAAGTTGGTTTTGCTGCTACAACTTGCCTCTGCTGAACCACTTGAACTAATAATTTCTTCTGATGTACCGGTAGGGGTAGAAGGTTTTTTTGAATCATCTTTCTGGAAACATAAAAACTCATACTGTACTGTACAGACCATAAGTCTACTTTTGACATAAAATAACCACTCCTACCAACTTCATTGGTTCACCTCCTCAGGTGAGCATCTAACCTAGGCCTAACTTACATTTTATTTGTTCAGTCACCAAGGTAGTTACAAAAGTTATCCTAAGAAAACCTATGGATGGTTAAGGCTAAACATCCCAGGTTTAGTTCCAAATTCTGCCACCACGTCGCAGCACCAAAATGGAGTCATTTTGTGTTGGTGTTTATTGGTGGAATTTTCATCCGATTTTCATTTTGAAAACTGATTTGTGAACGGGATAAGATAACAATTCACGCCATTGAAGATAAATTTGAATTAAGTTGCTGGTTAAAAAAATTATAGTAATATAATTGTGTTACAAAATAAAAAATGAAAATTGCAGGTAGTCATTTTAAAGACAACAATTTTTAATAAATTTTACTTTTTAAATTTTTAAAATCGCTTGGCTGGTTCAGTCGGTATCGTTGTTTAAACATTTACAGTAATTATAACAAACGCGAGAGAGACATGAAGCAGGTGCAGGACAGGGCCGCTGTGACTCATTCCAAGGTCACACTCACATTTGCTACCCCTCCCAACCACAAGACGGCTGGGGTGTTGCTTGTACACCGGTGGATGACGGTTTCCCGCGCTTCCATACATGAACAAATACTGAATTGAATTAGGGGGTTTGTTACGCTTTAACCAAAACAAATTGCAAACAAAATAATTATTTAAAAATTTTAATAGTGTCATCAAATTTTTAATTTTATGATCATCGTATTTAGGCCTAATCAAACTGTAAAATTTGTGTAAATCCGTTGGCAAGTATATAAATCTATATAAATAAAATTACAGTTTTGTCTGTACATTGCTTAGAATCATGCAGGTTTTGGTTATTTTTACGTTTCATAACATAAGAAAGCCGAAACGAGTCTTATCTCAATTTCTGTCTGTCTGTTTGTCTATTCTGTGCCAAAATGTCATTTTGCGCGGCCTACTCCTAGAAAACTAAAGTTCCGATCAAGGTTCTAATAATTTTTCCGTATTTACTGGATTGATGAGAGTGTCTTTGGCTATAAAAACATGGCCTCGCTTCTTTGAAAACAAAATAACGAACCATCAAAAACCCAATTTGGTTCGAATTTTGTCAAATTGTCTCCCAATGTTTACTATTACATTTTATGAAATAACGATCAGCTGTTTGAATTAATTCTCACTTCTAGCTGTCACTGATATGTTGACATTAAAAGTTGTTTACAAATACCGCAACCATTTCCGATCAAGTTTTGTTAGCACATCCAAACCAAGTTTAAATAATACCCTCGCCGCAGCAAACCTGCAGACTAAGCGAATTTCCATATGTCTGATTGGATTTACACTAAAATGTCTACTTAAAAATTTAACATTTATTTCCTATTTAAATAAAATTAGTTTAACAGGTACTTAGGTTTGCTGCATCAGGGAGGGTAAAACTGCTTTTTTTGTAAAATGTTAATAGTTAGTAAGAAATAAAAACATTTTCCAAATTTGATCTAAGTATGTTCATAAACAAGCAAACTCCATCAGTTTACTTATTCTCCATAAGAATAACATGGGAATTTAAAATTTACATTTTTTTGGAATTTTCTCCGTAACCATTAGGCGCATAGTAACACTTCAATATACTAAATTATTTGTTTTTTTTAAGCACTACAAAATGGTTTGAAAAGATTTTGCAAAATTTTATGTTTTTTGGGTCAAAAATGGGAAAAACCTATTTTTACCCCATAAAACCCCCCGTAAACCCCCGTTTCCATAGTCCGATCACGCTGGTTCGCGAACTCGTTCAAGTTTATCCCGCCTTACACCTTCAAACCAAATTTTATCAAAATCGGACAAAAATTACTCAAGTTATCGTGCGGATGGACACACATATATATATATATATATATATATATATATATATATATATCTATATATAGATATATAAAAATTTGAACGAATGGTGTTTTTGGCCTCTGGGGACATCAAAATGAAAAAGTAAATCGGTCCCGGGCCTAGGTCTTACCATGAGACCTACGGTAATAGCTACTTCCCTATAGGGAAATTCGCTAAAACGTTGTGTGGCCTTGGTTGTGCCTTACTTAACCGGTTTAATTAATCGCAAGTGCAACGATTGTTCTTGAGTTTTGATAACCGGGGAAAATACTGTGAAACAGTGCTGTATATTAGTGCTGGGAAACTTACATTTATTTATCATCGTCAGCAATAGCTTACAAAACAGGTTTCCACTTGACGGCGCTATAAAGACAGTTGTGTAAAGTGCAAAGTAAAAAATCACAACTGCAGTGGGTGATCGTGGATGTTGCTGCGATCTTGGAAGATCTTTCTGATTTCGCTGTGATCGTACCAGAGGTTTAACTTACAGATGTAGCTAAACTCACTTTTCCAATGTGCCACTGGCTGCCATTTTTGGTGTCTACTTACTTACATTTCGACAACGATATTGGTACTTTTCCTATTTAGGAAGTAAAATTACTAACGTCCGAAACGCCTGATTTGTCCGTTTTTTGTCACATTTCCTCCGAATGTTTGCTAGATATGTGTACCGATTATCGTTTAGAGATTACGTAGTCTTAAGAAACCTTTGTTTGGATAACGGTGGTTTCTTTAATATGTTAATATTAACTGTCATTAATATGTTAACATTAAAAGTTGCTTACAAATAATACTATTAATGGAAAATAACTTTGATTTTCGAAAACTGAAAAAATGAAAAACCAAGGGGGATTAATAACTTTTGAACTGCACAACATCAAGTGAAAGTTTTTTTTTGAGAAAACCATATAGTGAGTTTTTAAAGCTTTACGTTGTTAACGTTACATGTTACATAATTTGTGGCCTGTGTATTTATTTATCTTTATATTTGCCAACGGATTAACACCTATAATAAAGTTTAATTAGAAGGACAGTTTGAATTGGTCGTAAGTAGGCCTACTATAAAACGTTGGTTTTTGGTACTGCTACTTTTGCTTAGAACCATTGGTAGTAGTAAGAAACAGTTTTACGTACAAACACATTACTATTTACAACTATAGCTATCGTTAGTGCTGCACCTTATTTCTTATTAAATTAAATTGATGTCTTACTGTACAATTATTGCGTTTTCTGTCTGGACTCCATAATGTTAGTTAATGCTATGAAAATTAAAAACCATTAGTGGAATTTCTTTTGCATACCATCATGAATTTTTAAAGCATGGCGTTGTTAACGTATAAATATTTTGTGGACTGTGTATTTATTTACTTATTTATATATTTGCCAACGGATTTACACCAATTTTACAGTTTGATTAGGCCTAAAAACGATTATGATAAAATTTGATGACACTATCAAAACTTTCAAATAATTACTTTGTTTGTAATTTGCTTTGGTTAAAGCGTAGCAAATCCCCTAATTCAATTCTGTATTTTTGTTTGTATGTCTGTTTGTCATTATTTCTCATTGTTTCGTGGAAAAGACAAGAGCACCTTTGTTAATGAAAATTTCAACCCGAATAAAGTGTGCAATAGTGAGGTTGAGGTAGTATTTTAACTACTTTTAACCTGTGTGAAAAGTAACTTTTAATTACAGGCCTTCTTTTAATGCAAAATGCACACTAAATATGCAAACCAACTCCTGTTCAGAATATAAGGTTTCAACTTACTACAAGATTCCCGTAGGCCCTACGTAGAACGGACAAACAGCTAGTAAGTAAATAAATGTACTGTCCACAAAACATTGATACGTTAACAACGTAAAGCTTTAAAAATGCATGATGGTTTGCTAAAAAAATATTTCACTAATGTTTTATCACTTTCATAGCATAAGCTATTATTTTGGAGTCCAGAAAGAAAACGTAAAAATTAGAGTGCGAGAGTGTTTTGCGCCAACTCTCGCGCAATGCTGTTTTAGCGCTAACACAGCTCGCTATTTTAGTCATCGGAATGAGCATTCTCAGTTAAAGAAATAACATTTATGATTAGGTACTGTAATATTAATTGCCTGACACAAGTATTCAATTTTTATATATTACTGATAGGCTTTATTCATAGGCTTTATGAAACGTAAAAATAACCAAAAACTCCATGATTCTAAGCAATGTACAGATAAAATTTCAATTTCATTTGAATAGATGTCTCTTTCCGACTTACAGAAAATACTTGTTTTTAAACCATAAACTAGTATCTGTTAAAATCAGGAGTCCAGTCTATTAAGTGTGTCCGGTCAGAGTATGAATGCAAGGTGTGTGCGAGATGACGAAGCTACAGTCGCGTTGCAGGGCCGGGCAGAGCGGCTGGGCACTGGAGCTGCGCTATGTTGGGGGGGGGAAGGGGGAGGGGACCGGAGCGGGAGAGAAATAATGATAATTTCTTTAAAAAACGATTCCGATACAACCATTTGGCCGAATTAATATCTGAAAACGACAAAATTCTTTTAAAATTTCTCTTTACAAAATGACTACCTGCGATTAAAAAAAATAATTACAGCAAAAAAAATTCTTTATAAAACTTTTTTGTAAATAAGTTTTAAAAAACATTAGCAAAATAGCGTGAATGTCTTATTCATATCATTTACAAAACCGTTTACAAAACCAAAATCTGATAATAAATACGGAAATTATAAGTGATACAAAATTGCCGCAGAGGTGCTGCTATCTATCGGGCCAGAAACACAACTTTTTCAGGGATGTTTAGCCTTAATGCAACTAGCTAGCAAGGATACCCTTGTTTTAGACAATGAATAAATGACTTATCTAAGCTTCCCTAAAACAATCTAACACAGTAAATTTATTCACTGGCTTAGACCTATTGCCTAAACAACACACATAACCCCCTAAATTATATGCTATCCTTTTTTGTGACTGTCACCACCAGGCTATAATACAGATATAGGCTAGAGACCCCTAATTTGCAGATACAGAATAAGCTACCATAAAATTATATGTAGCTTAACTTATGTAAACTGCTATGTTGCTATGTTAGGCCTAGGCCTTTGTTATAAGAGTAAGTTACTGTACAAATAACATAGCCTAGGTTATAAAATGGCTGATAAACGTTAGCCCACATTACTGAAAAACACCACAGCATGATTTAAAATACATAAGTACACAGCATTCAACAAAACTAGGCCTAGACTACAAAATTGCATCACATGTAAAGATAATCTACGTCTAGAATAATTCATGGTTAATATTTACTTTCTCTTGGCAACTTACTTTGTTTGGAAGACGTTTGATAAATCGATCCACAGAACATGTTATCATCAAAATCAAGTCGCAGGTAAAAAGTTGGAGTTAGCTGTTTAGTTTAGACTAGACTTCACCAGTAACAGTACTACACACCAACATTAAATTAATAAGAAACAAGAAAACTTCACTTCAGTGAGTCCAGTCCACTAGTCCAGTTCAGTCAGAGTTCAGTTCCCTCATTTCATTTCATCGTATTCTTCTTCATCTTCTTGTTCTTGTATCTTGCTTGATTGGTTGATTCATCGATTGACTTTTTTCAGTTACGGACGTTGGACTTGCTTAGATTTAGAGGCCGTTTAAAAATTTTTTCCTACAGTCACCCGACAAAGTTGGCTTCCTTGTACTGTTTATAGTACAGAAAGCTGCTAATTGCTGCATATTTATACTTTTCCGTACGGTTTATACTTTGCCGCACATCAGGATTCCAACGAAACAACACAAAACAGCGTGGTTCTATTATGCACGTAATCCGTGTACGCTTGGAAATAGGTTGGCAACACTTACAGATAATAATACTATGAGCAGCTGATTGACTATTATAACTACGATTTAACCTGTCATTTCGTGTTTATAGTTTAGGTATTTCTGAACTTTCTGGACTTTTCATTTAAACGTTTATAAAACATTCCTACGATCTTAATAAACAAGAAAATACCTTTAAAGCATTTTTTTAGGCGCGGAAACCACTTCAAATTACAAAAACATACGGAACTATATTCTCAAAACGCGGAGCACATTTCTTGCCGAGGAAAAATAGCGGAGTGATACAGACGGCGGGTACTACTTTCTCTAGGACACCTATTTCTGTTGCCAGCTGAACCTAAAAACGTGTTGTATAGTGTTTGAAAGACTTATTATTTATATGCTTTATAGTGACTGTAGGAAAAATATAATGTGTAACACGAGTGAAAAAGGCCTTTGCTGCACTCGAGATCATTCCGCACTCGCCTGCGGCTCGTGCGTAAACATTGCTCTCGTGTGCAGCAAAGTGCCACTTTCACCACTAGTTACACAAATAACTATTTTTTTAGAGACCCAGACACTGAAAATCCTCGATTATTAGATAAATCCTCGTTGCTTTACCTGAAAATCCTCGAAAATACTCGCAAAATCTCAATCCTCGCAAAATCCTCGCAGGGCCTGGAAATCCTCGAAAATCGAGGATTTTCCCCGCAATTGGCAACACTGAACTTTCCTGCTTGCCGTCTGAGGGTTCCTCGGACTCTCGGTTCATCCCTCTCGCTCCCCTCTCTAGCAAAGTAGGGGGCTCAGCTGATCCGGAACGTTTGCTTGCTGTTTGCTAACCCGAAAAAAAAGCTAGCCGGCCGCCGTCGTCTGCAGCCGCTAAATCGTCAGTCGCTCGAGCTTTTTGTTCTTGTTGTTGACCGTAGAGGTTATGTTGTGTTTGTTTCACACGACAATGAGTTTTAACTTCAAGTTGTCGGTTTATATTACTCACACCGCATTTCCTCACGTCTTTGAGACGGATTATTGGCCTAAGGCCATGATCTGCGGGTTTACTAAGTGTAGAAAGTTTCTTCGAAGTACCAAGCCGGGTTGAGACCTAGCTTGCGAAACACATCGCTGGTGAGTCAATAAGCTATAAAACACTGAATAAGGTTTATGCCACGCTCATACAGTATTAATAACTCTCGTTCTACACTTATTTATTACCAAACACAACAGTGTATCATGCCTATAGTTACTAGTGATGTTATAACTAAGGTTAGCCTTCTAACCTATAACCTTAGTTAGGGATGGTAGGCTATGCCTAGGGATAGGCTAGACACATCGATGTATATAACCTAACTGGATCGCGCTCGGCTGGTAAACGAAAACGGTCCGCCGCCGCCGCGCCGCTCCCCCCACCACAAGTGGGCAACCGCAGTGGGCCATAGCATTGAAGTAGCATTGTGACCACCGACACATCGCACTTTTTTACTTCCTTATTGTCATCAAAATGTTTAAATTAATTTCTCTTTTCGTGTATGGTATTGTATGTAACTTTTTCTCATAGGTACATGATCTAAACTATAATATAGGGACCCGGAACACATATTTAAAATTAAACTTTCTTGTTGGTAGTCTTGGATTTATAACACAGTTTTGATGGTATGTATATGCATCGATATGGATTATTTTATTCAGTCAGTTGGGTTATATAGTACATCAGTTGACGTTAAATTATATTATATAACATTAATTGTTCACTCTCACAGTAGTGAGAAAAACTTCAGTAGGCCTACCGGTATTGAATTCCCAATTGTAGAATAATTAAAGGAAATAAAATTTAACTTTTGTAGTTCTGATATAACTTTAATTAAATCTAACCAACAAAACAACTTTTACAAATAGAAATCATTTGCTAGACAACAATCATACATTTTAAAGATTTTCAATAATTTGCTAGACGTGGCTAAACAAAATAAGTTTATCTAGTTTCTGCCGAACGCCGGTTTGAAACACTACTTTTTCAGGATTTTTCTTTTGACACTTTAAGACAATCCTACTTTAGAAAACAACATGCTTATCATTTTAATGAGCATTAGATCATGATTGTCTTCACCAAGATCTCCGTTTGATCTGTGGCCTCGGAATACACATTGCCAGCAAACATCCTTGATGCCAAAGCACATATATTATAGGCATTCATTTTAGCCCAGTTGGTTGCAGCAAAATTTCTGAACTTATTAAACAAAAACTTTACTAGGTGGCGTTCGCAGAGGCATCCACAAAATTGAGCGGAGTCATCAAGGGTTCATATTATATTGTTTTTGTCATACTGCAGTAAAAACAGTAGTTTTTAATGCATGCGTTGCGGGTCTAAAGTAGCATTTTTTTTATTTAGAGAGTAAAAATCGTTTTTAGCCTCTATTTAGTAAAAATCAGCTGTTGTCAACTCAGTTTTTAAATTTAGATTGTAAACGATTGCATGTAACGAAAATATGTATCGATTCGTGCTTCGTAATCATTTTAACATACAGTCTACAGGCTCTTCATGCAGCATTTTAGCATTGCAGATACATTAATCCATTCCCAAACTCGACACTGCTCACCTTTACTACTTCCTTCACCACCCCCTACGTTGTGGACCTGTTTCCCTCTCTTCCCATAGCATTTTAGGATTGCAGATACATTGATGTAATTGCCAAAGACTGTTCCCACACTCTGCACTGCTAGCCTTACTACCATTTACTACGTCACAGACCTGTTTCCTTCCTTTCTCATAGCATTTAGTATTACAGATTCATTTATCTAACTGCCCAAACGGTTCCCCCACTCTGCACTGCCAGCCTTTACCACTTCCTACGTCGTGGGGCCTGTTTTCCTGTTTCCTTCCCTTTTCATAGCATTTTCATTTTAGTATTGAAGATATATTAACCTAACTGCCACAGACGAATCTCACACTATGCTGATGTTCATACTTTACTACTTCTTAAGCCACTTCCTATGTCGTGGACCTGTATTCAACACTCTCCATAGCATTTTAGTATTTTAAGATACCTTAATCTAATTGCCACAAACATTCCCACACTCCGTACTGCTAGCCTTTACTACTTCTTTCACCATTTCCTATGTCGTGAGCATGCTTCCATCCCTTCTCAATCTCATAGCATTTCAGCATTGCAGATACATTAAAACTGCTGCAAACGGTTTCCAGTTCCCACGCTCCGGACAGCTCGCCATGACTACTTCCTTCACCTCTTCCTACGTCACGGACCTGTTTTCCTCCCTTCCCCTAGCATTTTAGGATTGCAAATATCTTAATCTAATGGTCACAAACAGATCCCACACCCCGAGCAGCTCGCCTTTACTACTTCCTTCGCCACTTCCTACGTCACGGACCTGTTTCCTTCCCTTCCAATTGCATTTTAGGATTGCAGATACCTTAATCTAATCGTCACAAACATATCCCACACCCCAAGCAGCTAGCCTTTACTACTTCCTTTGCCACTTCCTACGTCGCGGACCTGTTTTCCTCCCTTCCCCTAGCATATTAGGATTGTAGATACCTTAATCTAATTGTCATAAACAGTTCCCACACTCCGGACATCTCGCCTTGACTACTTCCTTCACCACTTCCTACGTCGAGGACCTGTTTCCTCCCTTCCCATAGCATTTTAGGAATGCAGATACCTTAATCTAATCGTCATAAACAGTTTCCACACTCCAGACTGCTCGCCTTTACTACTTCCTTCACCACTTTCTACGTCGCGGACCTGTTTTCCCCCCTTCCCATAGAATTTTAGGAATGCAGATACCTTAATCTAATCGTCATAAACAGTTTCCACACTCCAGACTGCTTTCCTTTACTACTTCCTTCACCACTTCCTACGTCGCGGACCTGTTTTCCTCCCTTCCCATAGCATTTTATGAATGCAGATACCTTAATCTAATTGCATAAACAGTTTCCACACTCCAGACTGCTAGCCTTTACTACTTCCTTCACCACTTTCTACGTCGCGGACCTGTTTTCCTCCATTCCCATAGCATTTTAGGATTGCAGATACCTTAGTCTAATTGTCATAAACAGTTCCCATACTCCGGACTTCTCGTCTTGACTACTTCGTTCACCACTTCCTACGTCGCGGACCTGTTTTCCTCCCTTCCCATAGCATTTTATGAATGCAGATACCTTAATCTAATCGTCATAAACAGTTTCCACACTCCAGACTGCTCGCCTTTACTACTTCCTTCACCACTTCCTACGTCGCGGACCTGTTTTCCTCCCTTCCTATAGAATTTTAGGAATGCAGATACCTTAATCTAATCGTCATAAACAGTTCCCACACTCCAGACTGCTCGCCTTGACTACTTCCTTCACCACTTCCTATGTCGCGGACCTGTTTTCCTCCCTTCCTATAGAATTTTAGGAATGCAGATACCTTAATCTAATCGTCATAAACAGTTCCCACACTCCAGACTGCTCACCTTTTATACTTCCTTCACCACTTTATACGTCACGGACCTCAAGCTAGTGTCGTCATTTGATTATAATTATGATCCATACCGTTTCTGTTCTAATATCTGTGGAATAATGCTATCAGCTATTTCATTATCTACTGCATTCAAAAGTCAACAG